AAGGTTCACTAAAGAGCAGCTGTGAATATTCATAATACCTATTGATTTTAACATTCTCTGGCCTTTTCAACTGACATTTCATAGTGAAATAAAGTACAGGCTTTGTTGTGACATTTTGCAAATATTACAGCTCCCTGGAGGAGGGATTTCCACTTTCTTTGATTAAATTCAAGGGTTCAGCATGAGAAGACTTCCAATCTTTGTTCACATTGTCCAAGCTTCAGCACCTCATTTTCATTGCATTCATAACCTTCCAACGCCATTGATGTTTTCTCTAATGAATCTAAACTTGCCATTTACTTACCACTGAAAGGTCGGTGATGTGTCAGCAGTCTTCTGATTGAGCTCAAACTTTGAGAGTTGGAAGACAGAGGGCTGCCAATTTAAATTTAAGATGATCCATACTGCAGTATTGGTCTTTTATTTATGGGACACTGCTCTGACACCCCTACTGTATATTACTAAATTGTTTCCAGTGTCCTCCAGACCTTAACGGTTAAAGAGGTAATTAAATTATATAAAAGAGGTGTTGGTTTGGAGGACTAAGATTGCCTACCCTTGGTTCGAATATTTTCTTTTTGCAATGTTTTGTAAGTAGAATGTAGAGAAAAGCTAATAGGTGGTGTGAAATGGGACAATTAATGAAGTAGAGGGAGATGGATACAGATGATCTACTGTGGTAACAGTATCAAAGTGTTTAAATCAAACTGGGAAAATATGCTATTTATTCTTCTGAACTACTCCCAGGCTTTGCAAAGCTTTTAGGTCAAAAACTCTTTTGTTGTAGCTCTCAAAGAGTTGTGTTTGCATGGGTTTCACTCATTTCCCCAAGATAATTTTTCTAAATCTTTCAGTATCCCTCAAGAAATCCCACAAATACTAAAAACCCTCTCTTTTCCCTCAAAAGCCACTGCCCACCATGGGCCTTTCTGGGATACTCTTTGCCTTTGATAGGATTAGAGTTGTGTGTTTCACCAGATAAAACGAATGGAGTGCATAAAGTGCAAAGGCTGCGTTTACAGGCAAGACTTCACCAGAATAAAAAAGCTGGAAATATCAATTGAAGCCAGAGAAGTGAGGAAAGATCGATTTTTAGCTTGTCCCCTGACGATGTAAATGAGAGGGAGGGAGAAATTACATAAATCAGTCACGCAGAAAGATTTTGTTATGGTGTCAATGTTAATCACTTTTCAGTCAGTTTTTCCCACAACGCTAATATTCCAAGACAATCTGGACACTTAATGTAATTAAATGAGATGAAAGGCTATTTCATTAAGATATGATGAAATATGTGGATTTATATACTCTCGAATTAACGCTCTTTAATAGGATGGAAGATTTACTCAAGGATGCTGTGGTTTGCAGTTTCTCTCTCCTGCTTCCATTAGGATCTTGTCCAGAAGTGCCTGCAGCCTGACCTGTCGATTATTCAAACTAAACATTAACGTTTGTTCAAAGTAATCACGAGGTTCTCTCAGGAAATAAGACTGAAGGAATTAAAACTTTGAAATATTCCTGTCCTTCTTGTCCTTGATTTGCTCTACTTGTCGCACGATTGACGAACTTGTCTCATTACTACACTGACAAAGTAAACACAGATTTTGGAACACCACTTGCTTTTCTTAGGGCAGCTCTCTGTTCCTGTAGAGCTCTTTGCACTAATGAAAATATGTCATGTTGGCCTGGACCAAGATGGATTGAAAGAATGCAGCCTTCGAGGAGATCTCTGGCGCTCCTTCGCTTGAGAGAAGAGATTACACACTGCCAGTCTAATGAGAGCAGGCACGTCGCTGCCAGAAAAAGATCCAGAGATGTGATGGATGCCACTGGAACACAAGCTCCAGGCAGCGCTCTACCTGGATAAGCTGTTTGTTGTGGCTACAATTTGCTGATGGGATCGTGGCAACTGGAGACAGTATCTCAGTGTGACTCCCAGTCTTTTTAATAACTTCAAACCGGAACAAATCAAAGCATTGGAGGAAAACTGCGAAACAGGGTGGAGGTACTTTCAATTGTCAGCTTGATGGCGCGGCACGTGACTGAAATCAGCATTTTCCTTTCTAAGTCCTTGTCATTCTATTACATTTCCCACCACTGTTACTCAGCGCCTGTCTCCCAGAGAAAGTTAGGATTTGGCTGCTGACTACGGCACATTGGCTCAGACGGTCCTCCGCCTGACAGGATTTGCCAGAAATGAGTTCCTCTACTCCCGTAAAAACTTTTCAAATCAATAGTGAGTGCATATTATCTGCTGTCAGCCTTGAACATCCGTTAAAAATGAAGATGTTTTGCAGACCCGCACTGCATATAAATTTGCCCTAACTAACAGAACAGGAAGGCTTTGAAAGCTGCATGGTTACTGTAGTTTTAACATCTTGCAGTTTCATAAACTATTGGTTGTTTACAAATAAATTAATTGCAGCACAAACAAAAAATACTGAATAGTTTTACTAAAGTTGATCTTATCTTGTGTTAGAAAGTCTGACTTTGAGTGAGCAAATATGTTTAAAATGCGCTGAATGAAGACAGATGACTAAATGTAATGGGATACAGGTTCGCTGACAGGGGGTCACACCTGGGTCTATTGTCCCAACTAGGCCCTCATGCTAACAAATTTTAAAAATGCAAGCCTAATATTTAGGTTATATAAAACCTCCCCTATTTTTTTTAATAGTCACTGCAATAGTCAGGAATAACCCCATACACCCCTGAATCCCAAACAGAAAAGGATTTGGTCACCAACTCGACTTCTGATCTTTGAGTTTATGAAGTCGCTCTTGTAGAATTTAAAATAAAAGAGACACAAATGTGCAGTTTTCACCAACACTGTAAGCTGCAGTTACAGTCTCTACAGTTGGACCTCTCTCATCTTTTCAATATTAAGGCTGATGAACTCTGACCCTACGTGGTCCAGAATCATAAAAGTATTGCTGTGACTTCCATTAGAAAGTAATTTTCATTGTAATTCTGTGGTATCATCTGTGCATAGCTGAGCCATGACAAACCCCAGTGACACGTATGGCAATTTTCCACATTAATCGCCAAGATAATGAGAAGACAGGCCTATTGACCAGCAGTCCAATAAGACATGAGGGCAGAACATACAAATCAAAGTTGTCTTGCCTCATATTGACTGGGCTGTCCACAGGAAAAGAAATCCATTTGCCAGGTGACCAGAGAATGAGGTGTGGGAGTAGATCAGGAAGTCACATATTCTGCTTAGTGCCCCCAGTTAGATTAAAAGTAAATGTGTTTTCGAAAAAGTTTGAAAAAATAAAACATTTTATGTCCTAGTCCTTGGTTTTATGTTTGAACAAAAATATGTTTTCACTTTTATTTTAAGACTTGTGCAACTCGTTAAGGCTCGGAAATCTAGCTTAATCCACTTCAAGAGATCCAAAGTGGTCACTTCCAGACCAGTACTCATCTCTCATATATTTTCCCATTAGGACTTGGCAACACAAGTAAGTTAAGAGTGAACTGATCTTAGAGCACTAACAACTTCTGCTGTTTTCTGTCAATTTTTCTTACATCAAAAATAAAAGATGCTGATTCACAGAAGCAAATCTATACAGCATAAAGAGAAAGTTTATTGTTACTTTGGTACATTGTGAAAAATCACAGTTACTGCACAGTTACTGAATGTGCACTAGGTTGCCAAGTGAACATTTTCACAAGCAATCAATAACATACAATTTTCCAGAAAGTAGCTGCTGTTTGATGATGTAGGTTTTCCCATACGATGGAAGTACTTAAGTGGTTGTTTTAACTTTTCGGAAACCTGATGCAGAGGATATGTGTGACTGCGGAAGAAAACACGCTTTTAAAGCAAAGGTTTATGTCCTTACACTATAGTTGTGTAATGTTTTTAAAAATATTACTACTATATGCAATTTTCCCGTTCTGTCCAACATAAATAAATTTCAAGACAAAGACGCTCACTTGAAGTATTACGTATTTTGTGGTCAGGTTTCTGCTCCAGTTTGATAGGTTAAGAAAATTGATAAGAAATGGACCAGGAGTGTCCCCTACTGGTTGAAGTTGTAATCATCTTGCTGGTATTTGACCAACAGTGTTATTCTAAGGAAAGAGCAGCTCTTTAGATTTCATCTTATAAAATTTAAAAATTACAATCGGATCTTTCATTATAAGTAAAGTCAAATCAAGATAATTTGGCTAGCACAATTCAGCAAGGGGACAAATCAAAATGCTTTACACAACAAAAACATGACAGCAAGAAACATTAGATCAAGGAAATTCAAGGAAAGTGATATAAGTGTGGAAAATGGAGTACAATTAAAGATGTTCCAGCTTTTATAAATTGAAGACAACTCTGAATAAATGTGTTTTAGACTTAATTTAAAGGAACTCATTGTTTTAGCATACTTTCAGTTTTGGAAGTTTGTTCCAGGTTAGAGAAGAAAAAATTCTGAAACGCGCTTCTTGTTCTGATTCTGGGGAAGCAAAATCAGAACAAGAATGGAGGGGCAATGGAGGAATCTCACATGATTCCTCTATTGCCCACACTTTTAGTTTGATGTTGTAACCTTACAGGCTTTCCTCTGCAGAATGGACCTTATGTCTAACCATATTTAATAGTTACTAGGAGAAATAAAACCAAAATTTCCACTGGAACATAACAGAACTTAGATATATTTTTAAAATCAATCTGAGCAAGGGGATTCTTGTAGCAAATGTTAATTGTGACCACTCTTCAGATGTTGAACAAAGCAATTTGACTCTGGTTCTGGATTCAAAGCCCAAATAATTACCTTATTGCCATACATAGGAGTTTGAAAAAGGGTTTTTTTTTTTTTTTTCTGACAGTAACTAATTGTCAGCACATTAGTTACTGGTGCTCTGTTGACACTAAAGGTGCTTCTTGCTGCCAATATTTCACACTCGAACTGCGTCGCCATATAAAAGCACCATTGTTAGGTTTACCTAGCAACTGCTGAGGTAATTCGTTTTTATTTTTTTTTTTATTTAAAGACCAACAGATACCCACTCATCTCCACGACATTTGACGAACGATTTACCACTCAGCGAGTGTTCGTGAACTCGTGGGACTCAGGGAGATGGAGGAAGAAGGTGGTGCGGACAAACCAGCTGTGTGATAGCCAGCGGGCGGAGGGGGTGTGTCTGCGTTATCATCCTCCTCAGAGTCCGGGGTGGGAGACGACACGCTGGAGCTCCTGCTGCAGCTGCAGTGACGAGGCGAGGGCAGTGAAAACCACGGAGGCTCCACCGCCTGTAAGCCTCTCTGTTGTCATGAGTGTCTGTCGCGTTTCTGTCACACGTCTTGTGATTGTAACGCTGTTTGTTTCCCTCGTGGCCTTTGGAGATAACAGTGCGTGTGCGCTTATGTACAACCCTCTGGGCGCTAACTTACTGAGACATCTGATCTACAGGAGGCCTGACTGTGAAGAGCCCACTTATTCTCTTACAAAACAGGAGACCCCTGGTTTTGCTGGACTTCATGTTGATCAATCATTCAAACTGTGCTGTAGACCAGCATTTTACAAAATGAATTGATCTTTAATTGGCACAATCTGTAATTTGTGTGTGTTTGTGTTTGTGTTGGGGGCAGATTGCAACAAAATCTACTGCTGGAAAGTAGTTTTTTTTTCTCTCTCTTTAAAATGTATGGAATGCATTTACAGTATATGTTGCACAACAGAGCTGATGAGGCCAGGTCAAATCCTCTCTGACCCAAACAGCTCCTCTTGTTATTGAACCATGCGTCAGACTGGTCACCAGTTTGGTCACATGCTGGTGTTTGATCACATCTGATTCCTCTACCAGCATGCAAACTAACGATTCCGTCCGTCCCAATGGCATTGAAAATAGCAGCCCCAAGTTGATGAAAAAGTGTTTGGTTTAGTTTAGTTGGTTGATGTCAGAAGTACAGATATTTTCATTCTCTTCACTCTCACTTTTGGTGAGTGTTGACGCATTGGAGTATGTTTGGTTCAACTTTGCTGCATAACCGAGTGCATTTGTTTTGTTTGTGTGTGTGTGCAACTTTTCTTTTCAACAACTTTTGTGCTGGAAAAGTAAACTCGCTTTTCAACAAGACAATAGCAACTGTCAAGAAAACTTGATATAATGGGGAAAAAAAAGTCTACCAACCCAATTTTCTCTAGTTTATGGTGCTAAGTTGTATTTATCTGAAAACCCTCTTGGCATCAGAAAAAGATGAATGAAACGTAATGGAATAAAACAGCAACAAGTTTCTTGTCTCTTCTGTTTTTTACATTTCGTTATTTAAGGCACAAACATGATGGCTAATTGATTGATAGACCGATCCCTGACCTCCTCCATCAAAAGAAGATGCTGTTTTCATGGAGAAACCTCGCACTGACTCTGCCTCCAACTCATCTCTTCAAAGGAAAGATACAATTGTGCTCTAAGCTTATGAGGGCTCTTACTGTCTGGCAGCTGTGCGCTGTCCTGTAAGTACTGCCTCTATAATAGAACACAATAAAGTGCCGTTTAATACCTTAAAAATCTTTTATTGTTCCTCGTAAGTTTAACTTGGAGCAACTATGTGCAGTAATGTCCAACCATTATACAAATTTCTAGCATCTGACTGTATTTCCTGTTTAAAAAGAGTCAAGCAGTGAAGTGAAGACGCCCCTGCATAGGCCGAGCTATGGGCTGCGGGGGGAGCAGGACCGACGCTCTGGAGCCTCGCTACCTGGAGAGCTGGACCAAAGAGACCGAGTCAACCTGGCTGACGAGCACGGACACCGACATCCCCCTGTCGTCAATCCAGAGCATCCCTTCAGAAAACTCTGAAGCCGGCTTTACGTCTGAGAAAACAATGAGTCCCGGTAAGACGACTGGCTGACTGCTCATTTATTCACCTGAAAGGAGTGTATGCAGAGAGGGGAAAAGCTCCCAGAGTGGACTGTGAGCAGTTGGCCCTTTAATTACACGTTTGAATATCTTCTGGGATATGACAAAGAAGACCTGGTACTGTCAACCACTTAGTGGTTTTGCAGATGGAGCCTCACATTAAGCTTTTAAAATCCATCAATGCAGGATTTTATCAGGCTGTTATTCTTTTTTTCATCTTGTCTTTTGCACTGAAGAGTGAGCCTTTTTTTTAAAGCAGAGGAAAGATGAATCGGTATAAAAGAGGAAATTAGGCAGCATCAAAAGCCACTGTGCTCCAACAGGACTTTGCTCTCATGGCAACCGACGCAGCTGGTGTTGAATGAAGGAGCCTTGATGTAACTGTGAAGACGAAATGAGTTCCAGATTCAAAACAAAGACACAGAAAAACATGCAGAGAATTTCAAAAATCAATCAGTTATGGTTAAACACATGCTGCTTCTAAAATGAGGCTATACATTTATTTGCACCACGCAGCTCAAAAGGCGACTTTTATGTTCTTTTTAGGTCTTTTGTTTAAATAGATGGATAGGAAAAACTGTCAAATTGTGAAAAAATGTTAAGCAAATGGCTTTTATATCAACCAACTCTTCCCATGTGTAAACCCTCCCACACACTGTGACATTGCAAATAATAACAGACGAATTGGAAATAAATTAAGCAGTTCATGCTAATAGTGGTGGTTAATAAGGCTCAGGAATATTTTTAGCTGATAATTGAAGAGGGAAATGTATAATATTCAAAACAAATAAGATGGATGATAGACTGAAGTAAATAGATCTTTCATATTTTTGTCTATGATCATTTTGTCAGAATGGATTCTACAGCTCAGTGCAGTTGATACTATTCACTATCAGGTTTTGTATGTTTTTTGTTTGTTTGTGTTTTTAATAACCACACTTACTTGTTTTGGAAATAGTTTAACAAAGAGTATCAATCAGGGTGAGTTTTTTATTTGGCTGCCTGCCCAGGGCAGCAAGCCATGAGAAGGTGCAATGTTACCCAAAAGTAGATAAATAAAGGTTACCATTTGTTCCCTAAATGAATTTTCCAAGGTCATTTGTTTGGGTAGGAAAGTGTGTATTTGCTGGATCATCAGAAAGAGGACACCAACTCTGACTTTGAAGTCTGTTCCTAATTTTGATTCTGCTACATAGATTAGTGTTGCTTTGCTTGATGCCGTTTATGTGCAAATATTTTGCTGTGTGGTTCCTTGACATCTTTGAATCTACTACACATTATTTTAAAACGAGTTGAATGTCGCACCATTATAAAATGATTCTTGTTGCCTGCTTCTGACCCTCTGTGGAAAAAATAAAATTAAAGGATGCTGGTTCCTTGTTGTTTCCAGAGCCGTGAAATTATTGTCTCCCCTAATTTCACATAAATCATTCATTTAATAAAAACAATTTATGATGTAACTGAATACATCTTGAAGTTGTTAAAACTGTGTCGCATTACAACCTCAAAGTATTATGAAAGTGTGAATAATTTAATGACTTGACACAAATCTTTTGTCTGGTTTACATTGAATGTTGCCTGATGACCCATTTGTGTATTTTCTTCGATAAAGTTCCAGATTTCTTTGAAGATGGCCTCCCTCCTCCCGCTCAGGCCTACCTGAAGGTTTGCTCAGCTGTGTCAGAGGCCAGTCTGAACGACGTGAAGCCCAGCAGCCCGCCCTCTGTGCTGGCCTCTCCACAGCAGGACAAGATGTCGCCTTCATCAGGCACCACAGTGCAGCGCAGAAGTGTTTTACACACTGAAGAAATTGTAAGGCTGGCTGGTTAAATTTTGCAACATGAGAAAATACTATCGCTGATATTTGATTGTAATTATTCAAGCATTTAAATACAATTCAGGGAATTTTGAAAGCAGTTTAAAAACATTCAGCATGCTTTTTCATGTTTGTTAACAGTCATTATTTTGCAGACAAAATGGCAAGACAACAGAATGTCGACCAAGCAAGTGACCATCACCGTGACCCAGAGCATCCACCAGGTGGACAAGAATGGGAAAGTCAAGAAATCGCTTACAACTTATGAGGTTATGAAACCAGTGGAGACTTTGAACCAGGTGACCACATGAAAAGTCTTGAGTGTAAGACCCTAGAAGGAGTCCTGCAAAGATCTAATAATAAAAAGAAATTGCATGTAATAATAAAAAGAAATTGCATGTGAATCCACTAAACATGCCTTATTGGAGATACTTTGATAGTCTGATGGATACACAAGACTCAATTCAGATTTTGATAATTGTGCGTGCAGTTTCATGTGTTTCATGTAATTTGGCATCTTAGAAAGACGTGTGTGTAAAGTATTCAATTGGACCATAAAAACACAAGAGATTTAAATAATTTTACAGAACAACTGAGTTGCAGAAGAGAAAGTGATAAAAATCACTTTTGGGATGCTTCTGTAGAAAGTAAATATTTAAAACTGTTTTTGTTCATGTTGCTGAGCATAAAATAAGTGTAAAAATCTATAGTCCTCCATAGGGCATAATGATGACTCAGCTTACTGCGTCGTGTTGCTTTCACATTAGTGTTCACTTTCTATCTGATGACTTCTGCTCTTTAATAAAATTTAAAAAGGTTATTCTCACATAAGAATAACCGACTTTTGGTTTGCTGTCATTCATTTGATCCTTCACAGCTCTGACAAAATGGTTGAGGTCTGGATTTTGAGGAATTACAATGGATGGACAAGTTTGAGCTCTTTCTAGTTTTATGTTTAGCTGCATTGTCCTGGTGGAGTATTAACCTCCACCAGTCTCATGTCTTCTGGTATCACTAACAGGTCTTCTTCCAGCAGTGTCCTGTATTTAGTCCATCTATCATCCATCTTCCTATCGACACTGAGCAGCTGTCATCTTCCTGCTGACAGAAAGCATTTCTCACCATATTATTCTGCCATGACAATGTTGCACCACAAGTTGGTGTGTTCAAAGTGTTGTGCAATGTTCGTTTTCTACAACTCAATTTTGGTCTGACTAGAACAAAGGCTTTTACACATCTGAAATGTCAGTCATAAAAATGTGATTTATTTGTGCTGCAAATCAAGTAAAAACAACAGGTCAGGAAGTTACATCTTAAAGTCATTTTCAAAACTTAAGAAAAGAATAATTATTACAAAAAAAAAGTAAATGGTCTTCCCTGCTGACATAAAATTATTAGTGACATGATCCTAGCGATTTCTTTTTTTTATTACAATTTGACACTTCCATAAATCAGGCGTACTCATCATGTGTGGCTTTTAAAGAGAATCCATCATCTCATCCAATCAAGTTTAAGCGGTGGATTAGTGCTGAGGGTCAGCTTGATGTTAAAGGTTTGTGGATCTGATCTTGTTGATCATATTGGATCCGTCGTGATCTGAATAATGGCTCCTCCTTCTTAAGCCACTGCTCCACATTGAATTCTGAGAAAAAGAAATTGATTTCTCTCTGAGCCGACTCTGAAGAATCTGAAAAAACAAAACAAAAATAATAATAGTGAAAAATACATTAAAATAATTTGAAATGTTTACATTTTTTAAAATTTCTAAAGAAAAAAAACATATTTTTGAATTGGAATAATTCAAAAACACTTTTTTTTTTATCCCAAAGGGAAATAAAATGTTGTAACATCTTACCGCTGTTAAACCCAAATTTTCCCACTGTGAGATAATGAAAGATATTTCTATTCTATTTGATTCCTTATAAATAAAAATGATTCTACTAATAGTGAAACAGTAAGGTCCAATTTAAAGTAAGACAGTGACAAAAATGGTTGTCTTTTTATGCAGTATATGTACTGTAAACTTTGGTTGTAATTAAATCTACTGGTATCACAACTGGACCTGAGAAATTTCACTGAACTGATGGGAGACATTGTAACTCTTCATTTCCTGACTCCCAGGATCTACTATTTGTAATATTTTAATCAGCCAGAATGAGGAATGCCCAGAACATTTCTGACCGGAGCCATGAGTTGTGTTTCTGGTGTCTGTGAGGCCAAAGCGAGCCCTGATGCAGGCAGGAGATGTGTATCTGGCTTGAAAGACTTTGGTTGGTCCCATCAGGTCCCTCCAGTGACGAATGGCATCCTCTCGAGCTAAAATGTAGGCTCTCATCGGACCACTGGGGTAAAATTCATATAAACATTACTAATCATTAGGTGATCCATAAAAAACACTATTTTCACAAACCTAGACTTACCTTGACATGAACTCGACAAGTCTTTGATAGAAGAATCGCTCTGGGAATGAAACATAGAATGTAAATATGTTTGTTGTTGAAATGTAAAACCCCAAAATTGATTTTTTCTACATTTGTCAAATATAGAAAGATTCGCATAGGTGCACACAGGCCATGTGATGTATCTACTAGAATAAGAAGCTTATTGATTTTTAATTACATGGAGAAACTAAAATAAAAATGTACTCTATTACATAAAGCCATAAAATTGTTAAATATTGTCCACTATCACTTCCACCTCTTCTTCTTCTTCTGGCAATTAAGAGTTCGTCGCACTGCTGGTGTGAAGTCAGCTTTAATGAAACTCTTTAAAGACGTTCTTATTACAGCTTCAGTTTCCCTGACACCAACACCACCGTCGAACTAAAACACAACGTAAACTTAGTGAGATGGTGTCAAGAATACAATATCGATATAAAAATAACATAAAACATATAAACATACCTCGCTGGCTAACCCTTCCTTTTGAGGTAGAAATGAGGTCATTCAGTAAATTCTTACACTTAAATCATGTTTCTTCATTTGCTTGCCAACGCGATGCTGTTATATCGCAAGCGTCTCTGGTAACCTGGTAACCAGACGCTTCTACATCTACTTCCTACCTTAAACCTTCAAAATAAGAGTCTTAACAAAAAACTATAAATAATACAAAATAAAATCTGTAAATTAAAACTTTGGCAGTAAAACTCCCACCAAATCACAAACCTATGGTGATTTCAAATAACATACAACATTAAATAGGAATATATTTACATTTTAACATTTACTCTTCCAGTAACAACACAGTTTTATGAACTGGTCTATCAAGATACACTGGCTTGACAGTCCTTTTTCCATCCTTATCCAAGGTCGAGTCACTTAGTAACAGCTTCACCTTCCTGATCCTTCCATCTGCGCTTGTATATACTTCTGTTACTCTTGCCAGTTTCCACTTGTTCCTTGGAGAATTGTCCTCTTGAAGAATAACAATGTCGTTTACCTTTGCATTCCTCTTGTTTCTTTGCCAGATTTGTCTCTGTTGAAGATTAAGAAGGTATTCTTTCTTCCACCTTGTCCAGAATTTATTAGCTAAAAACTGAACTTGGCGCCACCTCTTTCTCAGGTACAAGTCCTGGCTTACAAATTCACCAGGAGGAGGCAGAATAACACTGGACTTCATCATGAGAATATGATTTGGTGTGAGAGGCTCTGAACTTGGATCACTTAGGTTTTCTACTGTTAGCGGCCTGCTATTCACAATAGCCATCACCTCATACAGAAACGTTCTGAGGGAAGAACTATCGAGTCTCTTATAAGTTTTATCCAGAATAGCAGTTAAAACGCTTCTGACAGTCCTAATCTGCCTCTCCCAAACACCTCCCATGTGACTTGAGGATGGGGTGTTCAGAACAAACTCACATCCATATTGTTTCAACTGTTCTTTGTCACAGTCCTTCAGTGCATTCAAAAACTCTCCCTTAGCACCGACAAAATTTGTTCCTTGGTCACATCTGATTTGTCTTACATGTCCACGAATAGAAATAAAACAACGCAATGCATTAATAAAAGCATCAGTAGTAAGGTCATCTAACATTTCAATATGTATTGCCCTGGAACACATACATGTAAACAAAAGACCATATCTTTTTAGTTCTTTTCTGCCTTCTTTTACATAAAAAGGTCCAAAACAGTCAACACCACAGTAAGAGAATGGGGGGGTTGTTTCCATTCTGTCCTCTGGTAGATCTGACATCTGTTGATCTTGTGTATGCCTCCTGTACTTTCTGCAGGTTGTGCACTTGTAGATGTGTGAAGCAACTGCACTGCTGCATCCTGTGATCCACAGTCCATTGGAACGCAGCTCGTTGACAGTAATTCCTCTTCCTTGATGCTGCATCTTTTCATGGAAGTGTTTAATCAGTAAAGATGACACATTACTTGATTTGGGAATAATGGCAGGATGTTTGATGTATGGGTGCAGACTTGCTCTTGTTAAACGTCCTCCCACCCTGAGTACTCCTTGCTCATCAACAAATGGGTTTAAGCTATGCAGCCTGTGTGTCTTATCCTTGAGTTGGATGTCTTTTCCTTGGGTTAAGTCCTTGATTTCCTTACTGAAGGTGTTTTCTTGTGCAAGTTTTATTATGAATAGTTCTGCTTCTCGTCTGTCCTCAACACATGTGTTTCCACCTTTTGCTTGTGTGTCTCCTTTAAAATCTCTCACAAATTTCCTTAGACGAGCAATAGCTTTAACAGCTCTTCTCCAGTCAGAAAATTTATTGAGACGATCAAGTATTGTTCTCCTTTCTTGTACTTCTGTTTTGAGCACATGTACTGTTTTTAGCTCTCGATCATTAGGAAAAACTTCAACAACCTTGTCAGTTTCGATGGGTAACTCACTTTGCCACAAAAACTCTGGTCCTTTAAACCAGTTAGATTTGAGTAGCTGTTGGACACTTAGTCCTCTTGATGCATGGTCTGCAGGATTATTTTCAGATGGTACATGATGCCACTGATGTGGATCTGTGAGTGACCTTATCCTTTGAATCCTATTTGCCACAAACACATGAAATCTTTTGGCATCATTGTTCACATATCCTAACACCACTTTGGAATCTGTCCAGAAATATTCTTGAAGATTGCTGATTTCCAGTTCACTTTTTAGCATTACACTTGTTCTTGCTGCAACTACTGCAGCTGTCAATTCAAGTCTAGGGACAGTAGTGACTTTGGTTGGGGCAACACGTGCCTTTCCCATGACTAGTGCACAATGAACATCCCCTTTGGATGTGACTGTTCTTAAATAGCTACATTGTCCATAGCCTGTCAAACTGGCATCTGAAAAACTGTGTAAATCACACTGTGTGATATCTGTGTTTTCAGGTAGCATACATCTTTGGATTCTCACCTTTGACAAGTTTTGAAGATCTAGGAGCCAGGATTCCCACTCTCTGTAGAGCTGATCTGAAAGAGGCTCGTCCCATCCGACTTTCTCTTGACATAACTGTTGTAGGATTTGTTTTCCTTTTAGAATGAAGGGTGCCACAAATCCCAGTGGATCATACACTGATGCTACTGTGCACAGGATTCCTCTTCTTGTCATTGGGTGCTCTTTGACTTTTATTCTAAATTGAAACTCATCAGAAGAGATGCACCACTGAACACCAAGTGCTCTTTCCATCAGTGGCTCTCCAAGTGCTAGATCCAAATCTTTAATACTGTCAGCACACTCCTCTCTGGGCAGTGATTTTAACACATTTTCACTGTTTGATACAAACTTGTGTAATCTTAGTTTAGCTGTGTTACACAGCTCTCTTGCTTCTTTGACTAGTTTTATTGCTTCTGCTTCTGATGTAACACTTACAAGTCCATCATCTACATAAAAGTTTCTTTGAATGAACTTTACTGTGTCTGGAGAGAACTTTCCCTCACCTTGTGTGGCTAGATGTTTTAAACCAAAATTGGCACAACCAGGTGAAGAAGCTGCACCAAACAGGTGAACTTTCATGCGAAAGACCGAGGGGGGAACACTTAAATCACCATGCTCCCACCATAAGAAGCGTAAATAATCCTGGTCTTGAGGTGTTACATGGAACTGATGAAACATACGCTCCACATCGCACATTACAGCCACTGAGCCTTTCCTGAACCTACAGAGTACTCCCACCAAAGTGTTTGTGAGGTCAGGCCCTGTAAGCAGGTGTTCATTCAGCGAAGTGTCCTGATATTGTGCAGAGCAGTCAAAAACAACACGGATCTTGCCAGGCTTTTGAGGGTGGTATACCCCATGATGGGGAATATACCAGGCAGGGGAATTACAGATTTCCTTCTCCGGTATTTTCTCTGCATCACCACATGCAATAATGTCCTCCATGAACCTTGCATAATCTGAGTAGTACCTTTGATCCCTTATGAATCTGCGTTTGAGATTGCTTAAACGTTGCATTGCACTTGACATGTTGTTGGGAAGATTTGGTCTGTCACTTTTGAAAGGCAGAGGCATTTCATAATGTCCATCTTGCTTTTGTTTGATTCCTTCTTGCAGCTTTCTTAGGAAGCAGACATCTTCTTGTGAAATGCTTGTTTCTTCCACTGCTCTCTCTGTAAAATCTAATTCAAGTGCTTTGATTACATCTGGACCTGTTACTTCTTTCATCTGTGTCTTGCAGATGTAATGAACTTTATTCTTTAGCTTTGTGGTTGGCTCAGTCTCTGGTATTACTTGCTTTACAGTGATGCGATGACTTACTCCAATTACATCGCTGCCTGCATCACACAAATCACAGTAACTTATGATGCTCCAACCCAAATCTGTTTTCTGGGCATAAGGCTGGTTTTCTTCACCACATATGACTTCTCTGGGCATTAAAGCTTGTGTGCAATTATAGCCTAACAGGAGTCCTATCTCACAGTCCAATAGTGGAGCAATGTGTTCAGTGAGATGTTCCAAATGTGGCCATGACCTTGCTGTGTCTGGAGTAGGAATATGGCTACGATTGACAGGTATAAAATCACGTGTGTAAGCAACTGGCACAGTGAGTTTCTTTTTGGAAAACAATCCTCTTATTTGCAGAGCTTCAAGTTTTGTACATGCTACAGTTGTTTTCTTGGATGACATTGTAGATAATTTGAGTTTAACCTGGGTTTTAGCTGTGTCCAGGTTGTTTGCTACTTCATTGAGAATAAAAGACGAATCACTCTGTGTGTCCAGCAGAGCATAGGTAAGTATTTCTTTGTGTGGCTCATTTTGTGTGGATACATAGACAGGTACTATTGCAGATGTCTGTGTGTTTCTACTTTCATGAGTCACTCTGTTAGATGTACTTTCATTAACTTTCGTTGTTTCTTGTGATTGTGTTACCTGTTCCTGGGTTTCCTTCCCTTCAGCTACTTCTTGTTCTTTAGGTTGTTCTTTCTTTGTCTCGTGTCTTTGTCTTTCTTCGTGCAGACATGTGGGATGTTGTTTTGAGCATGTGTTGCATGTCATCCGATTGCTGCAGTTCTTGGAGAAGTGACCACTGTTTAAACAGCCAAAACATAGTTTTTCACCTTGAATGAACTTGACTCTCTCAGTGACTGGTTTCTCAGTGAACTTACGACATTTGTGTAAGCTGTGTCCTGCTCTTTTACAAAATACACAAGAGATCATGCTTCTTTCTCTGGAGTTAGTTGTGAAGATGTTCGCTGTATTTTGCTTCTTATGAATGGGTGTAAGTAGAGACTTGGTCTTTGGTTTGTCAAAGTCACTTTGTCTTATAGCTTCATATGATGTAATGGGATTACATGCAATACTTGCCTCCATTGACAGGAATGTTACAAAGTAACTGAAACGTGGGAACTGTCTGTGCTCTAACTGATACTCTGTAGCCTTTCGGTTCCATCTGTTGCTTAACCAGTCTGGCAGTTTAGCAGCAAGTCTTTGATTCTCTATTGCATCATTGAGGATGTTCAGGTTCTCATTGGTAATCATTGCAGATTGACAGCTTTGTAAGAAATCCACAAACTTTCTTAACTCTGCACTGTTTTTACCTTGGAGCTTTGGCCATGTGTGCAACTTGTCCCTAAAGGCTTTTGCAATAACAAAAGGCTCTCCATAACGATCATTGAGCATATTCCATGCTGCCATATAAGAATCTTCAGAGCCAATCAGAAAATAGCCTTCTAAGGCTTCTTTAACACTCCCATCTACATACTTCTGTAAGAAAAATATCTTTTCTGCAATGGGAATGTTCTTTCTCTCTATTAGAGTCTGAAACGATGCCTTCCAATGTTTAAACTTAAGTGGATCCCCACTAAATATTGAAGGCTCTGGAATTGGTAGCCTGTTAGCTGACATAGCTTCTGCCAAAACTTTTACAAGCTCACCTGTGCTCTCGTGAACGACATTTAACTGTGGTGGTTGATTGGCAGTGTTCTTCATCTCAGTTACCTGTATGTTTGCAGGATTCGGAGTGATTCTTTCTTGCTTTACTAAAAAGTAGTCTTCTTCATAAACTTGTAATTTTGCCTTTGCTGCATTGAGTCCTTTCAGATTTTCCAGTCTTTCAATTTCTCTTTTTAAGTCCTCAACTGATCTTTTCCTTGCAGCACTTTCTTCTTGTTGTCTCTTTATCACAGCCGCCTTCTCCTTTTCTCTTTTTAACTTGCGTTCTGTTTCCTCTCTTTCCTCTTGATGGCGTTGTGACATCGCAGCAGCTTCTTGTTCTGCAGTTCTGAGTTTGTCTTCTTCTTCTATGGTTTGGATTTTTTCTCTAAATTTCTCTTGTTCAGCCATTATCTTAAGCACAGCCTTTGTGGCTTCATACTCTGCTGCAGCTTCTTGTCTTTTGACAGAGGAGCCATTAGAGATAACTGTACTGGGTTTAAAATGACTATGAACTGAGACACTACTTGAGCTAGAAGATGTAAATATAGAACTGGCATCAGGCCAAACAATCTCCTCCTTATTTGTTCCCTCAACATGGCACTGGATGTTTTGCAAAACTAACTTAGTCACTGATGTACATTTGTCTAATTTGGAACGCATATCATGAGGTGATCCATCTATTGCTCTGTATTGATCATAAATATCATTAAGAGCGGCTAGTTCTCTTTGCACAATGTCCATGTGACCTTCAAGAATGTCAAATGGATCTCCTCTGATAACAGATTTTTTAGCAACTTTAATTAATGCTTTCCATCTGTCATAGGTACTTTCAAAGTGACGCTGCAGCCCCTTTAGTTTTTCTTTATGAAATTCTTTTCCTTTTTCCGTTAACATGCCAGATCTTTCACTTCTACATAGCTTTTCTTGCCCAGGTTGCTCTAAAGAGGTTCCATCTACTTGCTCTGCTTCGGCTGCTTGTTCTGCACTGGCAACTTCTATTTCTGTTTCATTTGTTTCCAACATTTTACTTTACTTGAAATGTTATGGACTTCTTAATTGGTCAAAATTTCCTTTTAACTTAAATTAACTCTGAGCTTCGTTGCATTACTTCCATTCTCGTTACTTTGTTGCGCTCTTGTTGTCAGGCTTCACACAGTTCCTTGTTGTTACTTCTTCCTTGTGTCACTTTCCAAACATGAACTTAAATGTCTGGCTTCTGGACGTCTTTATGAAGAAGCAACCGTTGAACGTGTGTCCGTTAATATTTTCAACTGACCAATCTTGATGCCCGTTAATATTTTCAACTGGCCGATCTTTGTGCCCGTTAACATTTGCAACTGACCGGTCATCGATGCGACAATGGGAAAATTATGCAGCTCTGAGTTCAACTATCGCTTCCACCTCTTCTTCTTTTTGGCAATTAAGAGTTCGTCGCACTGCCGGTGTGAAGTCAGCTTTCATGAAACTCTTTAAAGTCGTTCTTATTACAACTTCAGTTTCCCTGACACCAACACCACCGTCGAACTAAAACACAACGTAAACTTAGTGAGATGGTGTCAAGAATACAATATCGATATAAAAATAACATAAAACATATAAACATACCTCGCTGGCTAACCCTTCCTTTTGAGGTAGAAATGAGGTCATTCAGTAAATTCTTACACTTAAATCATGTTTCTTCATTTGCTTGCCAACGCGATGCTGTTATATCGCAAGCGTCTCTGGTAACCTGGTAACCAGACGCTTCTACATCTACTTCCTACCTTAAACCTTCAAAATAAGAGTCTTAACAAAAAACTATAAATAATACAAAATAAAATCTGTAAATTAAAACTTTGGCAGTAAAAGTCCACACCTGAATGTTCAGCATAAAACCTCTCCGAATCTTTCCTTTTCCACACCAGGTCTTTGCATCTGACAATTACAAAGTCGTTATCCAGAATTGTCTGGTGAATAGCCTGAAAGAAAACGATACAAGAAGCGTTTCAATTTTGCCTGTACTGCTAAATGTTTTGGATAAATGTAAGCACATGCTGCTGTTCACACGCTACCTTGCAATGCATACATTCCCGTTAAATCTTATAGCATTTTTCACATTATAGTCACAAACATTACAGTAATTAAGACCAAAACCCAGTGTGATATAATTATAATGTAGAAAAGGTGTTTAAAAAAACATCTAAAAGTGTGCTGCTGTTGATCTGTATTCAGCCCCTGAGTCAACACTTGGTAAAGCCTTTTGCACATGTAGGTAAATATAAACTCGAGTCCAACTGGACTACATGTGAAAGACAGCTAAGACCCTGTTTAATCAAAGTACAACATTTTGGACAATTTCTGAATGAGATACAAGTAAAATGCGTGAAAATGAAAGAAGCTTACCTCTGCTATTAAAGGATGGGCAATAGCATCGGGCTTGATGACCGCCAGGGTGAGCTGTAGCGCTTTGGACAGGCGGCCAGTCGTCTGCAACATGACCACGGTTACCAGGAAACCTTTTGAAAATAATATATTTACCAGAATAAGATATTATTTACGAAAACATGTGCGTAAAGTTTTTGGTAATACTGACCTTTTCTGTCAGTTGTCCATCAAAAACTTTTAACGGTTTTAACGGCTGCCATTGTCGCCGTTTTACTCAAAGCAATTTCCTAGTGAGAGAAAACAATAAACATAAATCGTCGGTTTAATTGACAACTATGAGCTGTACATATGAAAAAACCTCTAAATGACAAGCCGGTAATAAAATATGACTAAATGTTAAATGCAACTCCATCTCTGTGAGTTCCGCTTACAAAAACAGTCCCCTGAAACGGAACTCTGCAAAGAAGTGTTCCGCCTTCAGACGATAAATTAAAAAGCTAAAACTTTATTGACAGAGTCTATCGTTACATGAAATAAAAACAACTCGATATATATATATATATATAAAAAACATAGTAAAGATAAAATGAAAAATGTATATACATAACAAAAATATCTAAACTACATTTACAATTTAAAGGGATAAGTCATACATTGTCGTTACTATTATATCTGTAAATTTCATATTGGACATTATGTTAATATACATTAGTATTATTTATGCAGAACCAATGTTGGTAAAAGCAGAACCAACATAATGTTACAACTTTCTGTTACCATCTATCAAAATATTGAATTGCTGATAAGATTATATTTTTATTTTATTCCACATTATTTATTTTTATTATATATTTATAATGTTTAGATGTCTGATTTGGTGCAAAATTGTCTACTCCTTCTGACTTTTTTTTTTGTCAAAAAATAAAAGTATTTTTCAACATTTAAGCAGCTGAAAGTCTACAAGGGACCACTGACACGCTGACAACAAGCAGGAACTGGAGCTTCAGAGATTTTTGTGTGTGGTAGATCAGTCAGTGTGAGTTACAAACACATTCTAGAAATGCAAAATGGCCACACCCTGAAAAGCAGAGTGTGCAGTGTTTATGTGTGTGTGTAGAAAGAAGAAATGTGTCCAGCATAGGTTTCTCCCACCTGCCCGTGTCATGTGTCATGTGACTTTGGGGTGAATCCACAGCTGCCACCTCCATGAGGAGAATATAGAGGCAAAGAGAGAAGACTGTGGGGTTAAAGAGTTCACTTTTTTGTAATATGCTTGTATGTATTAAAAGCTCTTGTTAGTTTAATATGCCAATCTTAGTTGTTTTTTTTTAAAGAGTACTGAGAGCGATTCAATTAATACCATGATGACCATTGTTCTTTATGAGCATAGTATGGTAAGAATTGCAGATGAAAAAATAACAGGTTGGATAGAAAATATGGACATCACAAACATCCAGCAACTCAAAGACAAAACTGTTAGTGTAATCATTTGGTGAAATACATCTATAATTTTTGAAGAAAGAATATACCCATATACTTTTCTTGTGGCTAAATTTTAAAAAAATGAAAAAAAAATTAGATGAGGGGGGGGGGGAGAATAACTGATTTAATAGCATCTTTGGTTAATGAGACATGCAACAAGCAAAACCTAATGTTTCGGATATATGGTTTCCAGATCCTCTTTCTACAATTTTTAAAAAATCTTTTTAATAATATTTGTCAGTAATTTTGTTGTTGAGCAATAAAGCCAACTTTACATTTTTGATTACAAAACGAAGCATATATTTTCTCGTCAACTGGCTGCTGGAGATAGGCACCAGCCCTCCACTGATAAGCAGGTATGGACTATGAAAGGATTGATGGATGCTCTTAATAATTCTTTCAACTTGACAGTTTGGTGCAGCATAGGTACAACTATACATGTGCTTCTATTTGTATTATTTGTATTATGGCCCTATTCTACATTTTCAAACTTTTCTTATTTACTTTTTCTTTCATATGTCAAAGACACAAAATTTCAAACAAAGAAAGGTAACAGATGTTTAAAAACATAAATGAAAGATAGTCATTTTAACTAAACTGACAAGATACTATTAATGAAAAGCTACTTTCTTGTTGGGACGGCAGCTCGTATGAAAAGAGTGTCCACTGGTAATTCCAGTTGACTTGTGCTTCACACATCATCCGTTGAGTCAACTCATCTACTGCTGTCTGACTACAGTAAAGCTCATCTCTGTTTTACCTCTGTGTCACTGCTGCTGCTGCTGGTGCTGCTGGCTCTTGCAGTTGTCGATCCTGTTTAATGGGCGTTGGGGCAACTGCCTGAGACACAACCCCCACCGGCACTCGGATGTTAACGTTTTGTTCATTCTTTCAACAAGATCCACAGAAAATGGTAATGTAAAAACATTGCTCATAAAAATAAAACGTAGTCAACTAATTTACAGACATAATTATTTAACCAGTTTGTGTACCCATTCCCCTCTGACCTTTGACATCAACAAGGAATTACTTCTTTTTTTTTTGCTTCATAACTGCTGCTTACTGCATATTTTCTCTTTTTTGGACTACGAGGTGCAAATCTAGGAGATGGTTTTGCATAAAAATTCCAGACTTTAAACCACTTACCATACCTGTCTGATAATTTTTGATGTTGAATTTCATAAATTTTGATGTTTAGATTCCTAATTGTATTGAATTTGTGCTATGTGGCTGACTGAGTCATTGTGTGCATTAACAAGAATTAAACCAATGTATCTAATAGGAATGAGTGTACATTTATATTACAATAATGTAATGGACCCTGAGATGACAAATACATAAATAAAATGAAGTTATGATGCAAAAATATTTTTGCTTCAAAAGTTTTAAATTTGCTATGTTGTGCAATGTACTGATACTGATTGTGATGAAAAATGTCAGCATACCAACTTCAACAGCACAGTTGAGTCAGAGTTCATTTGTCTCTTTAAAGATGACTTTTGTTCTAGTGTGACCTGTGAACAGTATTGTACACCGCTGCAGCTCACCTGCCACCCCGTGACCTTTACAGCAGAGTCATTAAGGAGTCAGAGGCCTTTGAAGCCTTTTTAACTGTTTAGCCAGTGAGAAAAGTCAGGAATGTGTTTCCTGTTTTCACACTTTCAGAGGTTTTAGTGACTGGCTAAATCTTGGTCAGGCAACCTCATTGAAAACATCCCTTAGTCCCATATAATTGGACATTTGTTTTGTATCCCTTAATTTGTTATTTTATAATGACAACATTGACTTGAACTATTTTCTATTTTATTCTTTAAAATGCCAAAATTGGCACAAAGCATTACAAGTATGTCTGGTAACATTGTTTTCACCATGTAAATCAGACATTATGATCAAATTGTTACTCAGCACTTCAGTACTTCAGTAGCATTTTTATAAAATCTCCCTATATTCTTACTTAAGAACTGTCTGGAGGCTGCTTATGTTATTGTATTACTTGGGTAAAAAATATATTAAAGTAAAGATACTTTTACTTGAGTATAGTTTATCTACCCATTCAGTGGTCTGTCTTTGTTCAGCCCTGTATCTCTTGCGTAAAACTTTACAACAATTTCTCTTTGTCCCCCTGCATGAGTCTTGTGACGTAGACGTTCTTCACCTCTCTGTCACCTGTTCTTTCTATTCGCATAAATGCCGCTGACCTTTGACCTTTCTGCCTCGCCACGTGGGACTGCTCTGCCTTCGACAGCTGTGTCAACCTCAAGCCGGGCAACTGCTGCGCCAAGGGAAGGACAACAGAGTGGCATTAATGGCAAACCACGTAATGAGTCAGCAACAATTGCTGTTTTATCGTCATCAGGATCGGCCATCTCACATTTACTTTTGGTTCTTTATTACACTCCGATGTATTTTTGTCTGGTAAAACTCTATTAAACCCTCGTTTTCTTCTTACTTCTAGACACACTCCGTTCATGCCACGTTATTCTCTCATTTAAAGTGATTCCTTTCTCCTGCATGTGGAGTTTCCTGTTAGAAAACAAGGTTAATCCCAAGCATGCATGGTGTCAGCTGCCAGTTTATTTATACCAGTGTAAATGAACAAACCGCTCCATGACCAATGAGTTTCACTCCTACCTGCCGTCCTCTGGGACATTATTTCCTCATGCCAAGAAGAGTTTGTTGTGACCTCCCCAGAAGCGATGGGACGTTGGCAGAGAGGCAGACGGGCATGACAGAAGGCGAATAAAGTGATTAGCAAATGGGGGCCCCAGTATGTGAGCAGAGGTTTAAAATAACCCCTCTGCCCAATTTGAAGTGAGAATGAAGGGCTGTGATGTGTGTGTCCCAAGTTGGTTTAATTGTTTCACTGGGAAATGATCACTAGAGTTCAATAAATAATACATCTGGGAGTACAGATGGAAAAAAATAGTGTGATAGTTTAAGGTGAGCTCTTTAGCATGATGGTTAACACATGATAATGGGAAACAGATGCTTAAATACAAGTCCAGTGAGCCCATATTAAAAAAATCAGCTGTCCCCAATAAGATCAACAAGAGGGCTGTCTTTGCCGATACCACTCAACAACAGAAGCCATCTGATATTCCTAGCACCCAGATAATAAAAGCAGTGCACATAGTTGTCATTGGTGGATATGTTGCATTCGTGGATGTTTCCCTGGCCCTGTGCCACGGAAATATCAAACAACTGTTTGAATTAGACAACATCCTGTGGCATAAAAAGAAAATAACAGGGAGCTACAAAGATGAGGTGAAGCTTCTATTTGTGGACAGCGAGTGCCTTGAAAATAGCAAGAGCGTTGGGTTTCAATATAAGCCCCCCTCGCTGAGCCCGAGCTTTCTGTGAATGAGGTCCGGGTTCCTGTCGCACCCAACCCTGCTGCTGATTTTAGAACACAGGTGTTGACCTTAGTGGAGTGGCTTGTGCTTGCTGCAGAGGAAAATGAACCCCTACACTCAGCCCATTTTCTTCTATAGGCTTGGTTATCATTGTAAGATCATGCAGATGCTTCTAAGCTGATGCACAAGAATGATATTTTCACTTTTTTCATAATTCTTTTGTCATTTCTGGTTTTCTACTGATGTATAGATATATGTTTATATCTATCTATAGAGATATCTATAGATAGAGATATATATACTGTATAGACAGACAGACAGACAGACAGACAGACAGACAGACAGATAGATAGATAGATAGATAGATAGATAGATAGATAGATAGATAGATAGATAGATAGATAGATAGATAGATAGATAGATAGATAGATAGATAGATAGATAGATAGATAGATAGATAGATATATAGATAGATAGATAGATAGATAGATAGATAGATAGATAGATAGATAGATAGATAGATAGATAGATAGATAGATAGATAGATAGATGATAGATAGATAGATAGATAGATAGATAGATAGATAGATAGATAGATAGATAGATAGATAGATAGATAGATAGATAGATAGATAGATAGATAGATAGATAGATAGATAGATAGATAGATAGATAGATAGATAGATAGATAGATAGATAGATAGATAGATAGATAGATAGATAGATAGATAGATAGATAGATAGATAGATAGATAGATAGATAGATAGATAGATAGATAGATAGATAGATAGATAGATAGATAGATAGATAGATAGATAGATAGATAGATAGATAGATAGATAGATAGATAGATTTTCAGATTCAATAATTTAGAATATGCTTTCACATGACACTTGTTTGTCAGAGTAATAGTATCTTTTGAAAATGTCAGCCCTTAAGGAGATATTAAATAAAATTTTTATTAAGCCCATTTTTAGATTAAAAACATTTTTAGTAATATTCTAATCTTAAATGTCATGTTTCATTAACTAAGAGGAAAATCATGAGAAATATGATTTTCCTCTCATAATCTATATAGATTGTAATTTATCTATATAGATTCATTATAGATTTATAATTAATTATAGATGTAAAATGAATCTATATAATGTGTTTCATTTAGTGAATTGAATAAAATAGATACACTTTCAAAATGATGCTTTTATGCTCTGAGAATGACTGTACATTCATACAATTGGAACCAGATATTTACATACGCCAAGCAAAATCTTGTTTATTTATTGTCCCACTGCCTGCAGATAAATTTGACCAAACTTTTCTTGTTTCAGGTTAATTACAATTACCAAAATTATCTGTATTTTCTAAATGCCAGAAACTTTAGAGATAGCCTTTTTGTAGAGATATCTTTAGGGCATTTTCAAAGTAGGAGAATTGCATACATGATGACTGTCTCTTTAAATAATATTAAGGAAAGACCAGATGATGATGAAAAGGCTTTGGAAACCTCTCAAAGGTTAACTAACACATTTGAGTTAACTGAACCTCACCTGTGGATGTGTTTAATGTCACACCTGGAACACACTAAGGAGATATTAGTGTGTTCCAAGATATCAGGAGGATATTTGTGGAGATGCAAGGAGAGCGCCATTGATTTTGTAAAGCTATAAGAAATCACATTTAAATTTTGCCTAATGACATGTCAGGGAGGCAAAACAGAAGGTGTCAAATTATATTTTCTGATCTACATAGTAAAGCGATCCGTGCAGAGAAAGATTTTACACATCACCTGAAAACACCACCACAAAAATAACATGGCAGCTGCATGCTGTGGACATCGATTTATTCAGCGGGGAAGCTAGTCAGAATTGTCTGGAAGATGAATGGAGCTAAAAGGCGATCCTGGAACAATTCTTGTTGGAGGCTGGGCCAAATGTGTTGACATTTTAGTAGGACAACAATCTTAAATACACACCAGAGCAGCAGTGGAAGGGTTTGGATCAGAGCATCTTCATCAGAGTGACCCAGCTGCAGAACATGCATTTACTGGTGTTGCACATCTGTTTTTCTGCACAGTTTTTATATTCTAAACAGTCTATTGTTTTCTTTTAATACACAAATATACATGCAGCTTATGTACTTTAAAAACGTATTCCAGACTACTGCATATCCTTTGAAATTCTGATCATTTCAAGGCATTTTCATGTTCTATTCTATTCTATTCTATTCTATTCTATTCAAAATGCCTAAAATCAATTGAGAATTTGTGCCAAGATGGTAAATTGGTGTTCAATGAGCTTCTCTTTACAAATTGAATTTGGGTTCATTTTCATAAAATCCCCCAAAATACAAAAACACATGAACATTTGTGATTGTAATACAACTGAACTTGTGCCTCAGAAGCATTTATTGATTTTATTCAGTGCCACAAGAACAACCAAACTTTAAAGTCTTACATGTTACTGTAGATGATGAGTGTATCTTGTCGCATCACTAACCCAAAATGATAATTGCCTCCTCACATAAAGCCTCTTCCATACCCCTTACAACAAGACACGTGGCTCTTTTTTCTGCCTTACAGGAGCCCAGATGAAACTACAACCTTGTCTTCAGCTGTGATTCTGAAAGTACCCTCAAAAACCCACTGAAACCCGTCCCTCTTGCAGTTGCTTCCTTGTTTCTCCGCCCTCTTTTTTTCTTTTTTTTTTTTTAAAGGAGTCACTGACATCCTCTGTAAAACAGAGGCAGGGCAAGGCGGGCTGTGAGCTGGAGGGAGTTTGGAGTGGGGGGGGTGGCTGAACAGAGGAACAGCAGAGGGGTGTTGGGTGTCTCAAGCCCAGTGTGAACAGCTGAAAGGTGTGACTTCACAGAGCTCGCTCCCTTCCCTGTCAGGGCCCTGATTGGGCCAGACAGGAGGCGCAGGAGAGGCCCCGGGCTCCCTAAAGGACACCAACAGGTGGGAAGTCGCATTGGAGGGGGGCCGCTCCTAGTAGGGATAGAAAAGGCCGGTCTGCATGGCCTGCTGCGGGCACAATCCACCGGGCCAGATACTGAGGAGAGCGGATGATCGCAAAGAGAGCTGAAGCGGACAGATGAGTTGAGTGGATAGAAGTCAAATGGAGGCTTCAGGGACCTGACCTAAGGTTGGTCACAGTTTAAAATGTTGTTTGGTTTAATAAAAGTTTTTGTCAAAGTAATTTGTAATTGAGCAAGCAGTTGTTTTGATTGTTTTCGGGGTAATATTTCTTTTAAAGAAAAATCTGACAAAAAGCATGTGTGAGACCAGATGTTAGATGTTTTCTCTCAGCTTTATTAAGGCAGCAACACACCACAGCAGAGCTTGTCACCTCCGACAGGCAACTGATGGGGACACCGAGGTATGACACAGGAAGAAGTCAGAAAAAGTCAGTACTTTGACATGTGTCTCAGAGCAACAACACTAATTACAGAAGCTACCTTTCCTTAGTTAAAGAAGACAGTAAACAACATGGGGTTAGATTTAGGCCACCAGGTTATTCAGAAGGAGAGTTGGTGTGTTTAGTCTGTTTCTCGGATCAACTTAATCAACAGTGTAAACCAGAAAGTTGAGGAAAAACAGACAACTTTTTAAAATGTATTCAAACTAATTTTTTTTTTTGTTTTATTTCTTTATTTTTTACATTTACTGCGTTTGTTGTCTAATTTGCATTAGAAATTGATGTTATAATCAATTTCCAATGCAAACCTATTTGAATGTGACATTACGTCTTTAAACCATACATGTTTTCTCAATTTTCTTTGGACACTTTACAATCTTTCTCAGAATGAAATTTTTCCTCTCTTCAGCGACGAACTTTGCTTTTCAAATATTCCTGTGCTGCCATTCCTCTCCCTCTGTCACAGTTAACCACTATT